AGTCACTGATTTCGGGCAAGGCTGCTGCTTGCGAACGCTGATGGCTGGGGAACATCTACGGACATCAGCAACTGTCAAAACACGGGGTTCACAAAGGAAAGTCTTGGGAGGAGATGCTTTTTCCCCCCTTCTCTCAGGGTTTGGTTCAAAGCCTGCTGGAATGAATGGGGAGGTTCCCTCTGGCTCAAGGCCTTTCTGAGCCGAGCTCTTCAAAGGTTCTTGCTATGAATGAGTCTCCATGGAGAGATGGTCAGAGCCTCCTCTGGGACACACTGCGCCCAAGATGCCCCTCCATCACTTATGGTCCATAAAGATACACATCTAGCAAACTATCTGTGCTCACACTGGAGGAGAGGGAGCAAGGAAAGTCGCTAACCAAGGTCAAGGAACTTGGAAAAGAAATCCTGGTTGTCAGAATTTGGCACTCTACAGGACCACTGTGAGCTTGGGGTGGCCGGCCCTCCAGACACTGGGAGCTGGCTTCTTGCTTGGTTTAAATAGCGATTCTCTTTGTGGATTTAGAGCAGCAAATCAATCTCTTCCATAACACCAATGATACTGTAGAGCTATGACAGGGATGAATTTGGCTGTATCCTCAACCAAAATGCATTCTGCAGCCAGATTGTTCAGCAACGCAGCGTAACAAGATGCTGGGCTGTCCAGGGTGCAGGGGCTGGAAATCGTTTTATTCGTGCGTATGAAGAGGAGGTATTGAGAACTAGCCCTTGTTGTGCAGCAAACATTGCTCTTGATCAAGTAGAAGCTGCCAAAATAAATCCACTGATCTACAGGAGCTCCATTAAGTTGGATGTTTATCGATGGTAGAAAACTTATGCTGAGCTTTTTCCTGCTTTGTTACTGCTGTGTTTGCTTTAAAGGGCCAGAGATCACAGGGGGAAAAAAAAATATCACCTACTTATGGAAAACAGTGATTAAATAATTGGTGCACGCTGACAAAATTTCACAAAGAGCCACATAAGATCTTAGGCTGAAATGTTTCAGCATGCTTAGTGGAGACAAGCTCCTGGGCACAGTGTTACCCAGTTTGGGCTAAGTCATGGTTATGGGCTCACTCCAGCTAACGGTTGGCATTTGCTCCTCTCCCAACACAATGAGTCTTTGCCCAACTGTCTCACTTCACCGCCTATTTCTTTTTGTTTTGACTGCACCATGAGAACAGCAAGAGAGATTGTGCGCCATTTGCAGCTGAGAATGCACTTCAATGGACAACGGAACTGGAGAAATCCCTGGATGCTTACCACCGTCTGAGCACATCATTCCTGTCCCCTTACTGAGCCTGGGCTTTTGCGGGTCTTTTTTTCCAAAAGTTTCCAGAATCAGCTCATTGTATTGAAAGAAATATCCTGAACTGGACTAAAATGATAGCTGTCCTTTCAAATCACTCGTACTAAAAATTTGGAGATTCTATTTGAAGGCAAATTTTAAATGATAAAAGGAGATTTTAACACAAGCAACTTTAGCTAACCTTAACAGCAAAATCCAGCAAAGGGCAGAACATTCCTGTGTCGTGTTTTTCAAGCACATAATTCCTGTTTCCCACAATAACATTTTTAGTAAAAAAACAAACAAAACCCCATAAAACCTACAGTATATGAAAACTTAAGACATAACAATAATGAAAAAATGGTATTGAGTATACTTGATAGCGATGTACACTTTAAAACAAATCAATAGACTATGATGTAAACAAAACAGTAAGATAACACTTTAAAAACAAGACAAACATTTATCCATCGATAGTATACAGTAAACCAACAGTCCGCTGTGCAGATGCACTTATTAGGATGGTAGTCATAAAATGATTAAGTGTGTTAAAGTAATGTGTTATAAAAGTCTATTATAATTTTCTACTTGTATATCTCATATAACAGAGCGCTGTTTGTTAATTGTTTCTATAGTGCTTTTTTTTTTTTTTTTTCTTTTTTTGACATTCCCATTGATCAGTTTTTGGTTAACATGTGTAGGCTGCAACAGGCTTACTGTAGAGGTGGTAGAGAATGATAGAGGGAAGAGGGGATATATACAGAAAGGCCATGCGCAGCTTCCCACCAAGAAGTCCTGGTGCTCCATAATTTTACTGTTCAGAATTTCAACATGGTTTGCTGCAGGAGAAAGAAAAACACAACAACAAAGAAAGAGTGAGAAGTTAGAGAGATACATCTAGATTTCAATAAAAGTAATTCTAGTAAGATACATTTAGATCCTCACTGCATTGCCCAAGAGGTTGCCATTAGGATGTTGCAGAGAGAAAACATGTTATTCCCTTAATTTTCTGTTGTAGGGTGAAATTGCTAATAACACACTCGGCATCCTCTTTAATCTGCACTGAAGGTTTTCCATTTCCAGTGTGCTTCACACTCTGACAAGACAATTAGTGAAACAGGGAGGTGGGCAAATAATAGTCATCTTATTTTTGGACAGGATGGCAGATAGAAAGCAACTAAGGAGAGGGCTAAAGGAATCCCTGACCCCTGTTAGCTCCTGTTTCCTTTGGAGAGAGCCACAGATTAAAATCTGATCCTAAGGAGCCACGAGCCAAAGGCAAGTCGGGCCCAGAGGCAAAATAAAGACACACAAACCCTGTGCTCAGGGGACCCACTTCTGAGGGCACATCACCTCTATTGGGATGTACTTGTGAAAATCCTCCCCTGAAGGACCCAACACTTGCCTCCTGCGGAGCTAGGCTAGCCAGCCTGGCTACCAGGACCTCAGCAACCATGGAGGGAAAGAAAAACATCTGCCAGAGCAGCAAGTGTTTCAATTACCCAGCTCCCACTCAGGGTAGCTTTGGGAATTGCCTCTCAGCACTGCAGAGAGCCAAACAAGGTCCTTCTCTGGCAAAACACTCGAGCACACACGCTCAAGTGGTAGCATGAAACGATGTGTCCTCAAGAGATTTGCTTGCCTTTAGTTTATGCACTGACATGGAGGGTAACAGCCCAGGAATGGGATCAAAACATGCATGCTGCTGCTTGAAAATGGTGGCTGGTGGGTCTGTGAGCACTGGGGATGCTGGGGGCCCCAGCCTGTTCCTACCAGCCTCCAAAGATGGTTTCTGTCCTGCAGCTGTGAGGTGTTAAGAGGACAAGTGCTTCCAGCAGAGCAGTGGCTCACATATGTGCTCACGCTGCCTGTGTGAAGAACAGGCTCCTTGTCTGACCCAGACCTTCTCCATGCCCAGTAGCCTGATCCCTAAAAGATCCTATCACATTAATTATGTTGACTCTGCTCCTTTCACACAAGGGTTTTTCACAGGCCTTAACAGCACAGCTGATATTTTATTTACACACTGTGCCATGCTCTCTACTTGCTAAAGAAATACATCCCCTGGAAGCTCCCTGCCTAGTCAGAAAACACTACTGAAAGTGTGAGTTGAAGCACACACACACACACACGTAAAAGTGAAAAAGAATTCAGAAAAAGAAGTTTCCTGAAATAAATGCTGTAAACAATCTCAAAAGAATCATAGAATAGATTGGGTTGGAAAAGACCTCCAAGATCATCAAGTCCAACCCCTGATCCAACTCCAATTACTATATCATGGCACTAAGGGCCACGTCCAATCTCTTTTTAAAAACCTCCAGGGATGGTGAATCCACCACCTCTCTGGGCAGGCCGTTCCAGTGCCTGATTACCCTTTCCGTAAAGAATTTCTTCCTAACATCTAACCTAAACCTCCCCTGGCAGAGTTCAAGAATGAGGCTCTTTCAATGCAAGTTATCTCATTGTCAGGTGGAACAGGCTGTTTTGCATGTGTTATGGAAATGGGGTAACATGTCAGGCGTCACGTGAGTCTGTGTCTGTTCTTTGGCAGAGCAGCACCTGTGTAATGCAGAACATTTCCACTAACGGGGACAGCCTGGTGTTCACTCCTAGACTAACAGGGGTCCATGGCCACAGTCAGTGGGCCATTTATACATACAGTAGTTCATTGAGGTCAGCAGAGGTAAGGGCCACCACAATATGAGTAACTTCTGTTGATTGCTAAAGATATCATCAGAGAATTACTTGCCAAATAAATTTCCTGCGTTTAAGTACTTGCCTGCAATACACGACCTAAGGAAGAAATGGGTTGTGTATCTGTGTATACTAACTGGCCTGCACTGGGAAAATCTGGTGACCTCTTCTTGAATTAGCTGAACTGCTCTTTTACCCTCTTGAGGTAAAAAAAAACACAGTGCTGAACTGAAACCCTCAAGGGATTTTCTCTCATGAACATCAGCTAACACAAAGAAAAGCAATGGAAAAATGACACTGCTGCTAGAGCTGTGAAATAATACTCTGTAAGTCAAAGAAAAGGACAAACTTCTCCATCATTCTCACTCAGAGAAACCCAGCAGCCTAGGGAAGCCCAGGATTTGCAGGTAAGGTGAAGGGTATGTTGCTCGTGGCATTCATCCTGCCCTTAAGCAAATACAAGGACCTCTGAAGAAAGCCACCATGAGCCAGGCCCTTGCTACAGCTGAACAGCAGATCCCTGCTCAGACCAAGCCAGCCTTGCAGGTGCACAGCAGCTGATGATGACACAATCCTTCTTACCCCAGGAAAGGAAATATGCCACCAACAGCAAAAGAGAAGTTACACCTTTTCAGCTGACTCATTACCAGAGCGGTCTTTGCCATCAGTAGCACAAATCCCTGAGGCATCTGCAGGCAGCTGGGAGCCGTGCAGAGCAAGAGTAACCTGTAAACACAGCCGTCAGACTCAGGGGGATGCAAGAAGGGAGGCTGCCAACACTGTGAAACAGGTATTTTAGACACAAGGAAACACTGCTTGTTATAAACCACAGGGCTGGTCCATATCTGTGCTGCAGCTGCTGAATTTCTGTCGAGTAGGCAGAGTGCCTGTCACCAGGGTCCCACAGGCTCAGTCCCTCTGCCCAAGCCAGCCCCCACTTTGGGGGACGCAGTGCCCTTGTACAAAGCAATCCACCGTAAAGAGAAATACCAAAAAGGAACTTACTGTTCTATCGGGAACTTCTACATCTGTGAAACAAACATGCTGCTACTCAGTTCATCTACTGATAACTGGGATATCTACAGCAAAAAAAACAAAGAACATAACACATTAAAACATTGGCCTGAGATCAGGCTGCTCATTCTGTCTTCAGTTTCAGGTTAGTAAGTACATCAGTGTCTTATAAACCAGGATGCATTCCCAAGAGGTTTTTATTTTGCCATACATTAAGTACAACATAGCGGCATCACTACTGATGCCTCATGGAGTCAGTGGTGATTTTACTGGGATTTTAACTCCATAGACTACAAGACAGACAGAAATGCCCTGAAACTATCTGGCTGAAACAGGACTCATACAGCCACAGAGCAACGCTGCACAGGAACGTCTGCTTTCTTCTCATGACTGATACGAGTATGAGTAAGACCTGCTCTACCTGAAAATAACAACAAAGCACAGAAAAAGACTAGCAATCCCTACTGCGAGCAGTAAAACACTGCCTAGGACTTATCGACTGAAAACCTCGTGACCTCGTGCTAGCAAAAGACTAGAGGATACCCCCTGAGATATTACTGACATTCAGCATGGCTAACAACCTCCTACAGAACAAAGTGACACCCCCTTTTCTTTGCAATAGCTCTAAACCTGAGAGCATGACAAATAAAAATGCTAAAATTCATACTGGGGTGGTGGTGGTGGGGGAAGGGAGTGTTTGAAATGTCTCTGGTCTAACTGGGAAAAGTTGTGGCACACCAAATTATCAGGAAGCATCACTAGGACAGGTTGTGCATATACGGTTCAGGACTGGTGCGGAAGCAGCCATCACAACTCGGTATCTTCAGAGGAAAGTTTTGGAGA